GAATGATCAGAAAATTTTTACACATGCCTCTGTGCCGGAACTGAGAATATCCACTCAAGTGTTATACACCAACTTGTGTCATAGGTAGGAGAATAGACAAACCGTTGGATCAAACTGCGAAAGCTAAAATCTGTTTGACTTATGACACAAATTGGTCTTTATTTGTAGCACCAATGGTGTCCTCATATACGAGTGGAACACTTGTGAAACGCAAAGTACAATTAAAGTTGGACATATTTTGCGACGTTTAAGTAGAAAAATGTGCGAAGTTATTCCGTTCTCTTCAGAGGGCCTGAATGAGCAATAAGATCGTGAGAAAGTTTAAATTAGGCTGAACCAATTTCAAAGACAACACTCTTCGTACACTAGAGATTATCGATTATTGAATTTCCATGCATGCGTCTAAAACTGAAATTGCATCACTATACGTCAGTCAATGACTAACCCGGCCAGGCAGCCTTTTCTGCCTTGTCAAAATCCTTATTTAATAAAGAACAAAGCCCACGTCTGCCCTCATTCACTTTCAACAACTAGGGGGCCATCCGTGAGCACTCACAAACAGCGCTGTGGTGTAGCGTATAAACCAAATTATCGCAAAATCCGCAATAAATTAACGTTTAATGAGAAAGAAATCATAGCAACGGCACTTAAACAGTTTAGCCAAAAACTTGGCTGATGCCAAATACCTAACAATGACTAACGTTTTAATTAGAAGCCACACCACGTGTGAATAAATATCACATTTCACACTTATTTAGGAGAAGGAAATACGTCGTGATCGTATGGTAATGATATTTGATAGCATGTGCAGAAGCTACTAGAAACTCCATGCGCATGCGTTTAAAAAAATATTTTCTTTTTCTACAAAATCTCAGATGCTCAAATAACCCAAGTAGAGATGCGGAAATGCAAATCTAAGCTTAAAAATCCATGACTTTAAAGTTCTAAATATAGGACACATTGGAAATTTAGTTCATTGCCATCTCAAAAAGAAAGCAAAATGGTGCTGCGAAATTATAATTTTTTGGAGAGCCTGTACTTTAATTACCTTGTCATAATCTTGTAAGTGATTTCACACTTATAGCTGCATTAAAATTCCTTGTAGCATTTTCTTTTTAATGATTTCGTAATCACACGCTTTTCTTGGCTTCCATGAAATCCATCCACTAAGCAAGAAATTCTGCATCTCTGCGATGGTCTGTTAGTCGGTCTCTCCTCATCTCACACCCCATTTTTCGCAAACCTTTTATCTGTGGTAAGTGTCCTAGTAGGCATGGAAGAGATTCCATTCTTGCGATTCTGCTTCAAAATCATTTTCTCTTTCTCATACAAATGTACTGAGTTGCCTAAGTCACTTCACTGCACGTGAGAAAAATTTTGATTTCCCAATTCCAATTAAAGTGGTGTCCAGAGGTCATGTCCACGTTTATGCAATTAAGAGTCCAGCCGTTTACTCAAATAAACCTTGTCAAACAGTTCTTTAACACTCATTGTCGTTTGTTGTACAGGCAGAGCATCGTGCTTTCAGCTATGTTGCAAACAACTTGAAATATTTGTCAACGGCCTTCCAAAAGGCACTAGTAGACAAACCGGAAAGGAGAGCAGGGCTGAGGAATGCTTGAAACAAGTTTGATCTAGTTTTAATTGAAACCAGATGACTTTTGATCTTCGTGGCGCTAGCTTTTACAGCGTCATTACATAGGCATTTACCATTCGCAGAAGAGCCAATATAAGCGTAGAAAATCAATCGAAAAATGTCATATTTATCTAACTGGAGATACGACTATCACACATATGAGTAAACTTACGCATGACCAGACGGTTTTAATACGCCATTCTAGTACAAATTTACATCTCCGTGAAAGTTTTTAAATTGCTCTATCAATTTAGTAGAAGGACAAATGTTTCCTGCATATTCCAAATGTCCCCACAATGCACTCAGTATGCTAAATACTTACCTCATAAGTATCCAAAAAAGGTCCATCACAACTCAAACCCAAAACAAACAAGTAAACAGATTTAATAATGAGAAAAAATTTCCACCTTCTTTAAACGGGGCGTTAACAAGCGCACAACTCACCTGGCTATCTAATTGCACTCGAAGACAATGGAATCTTGACTCTAGAATGTCCAAACCCGTGGTTCCACTGGCGGAGAAAGATGAATTGAAACTTGAAGATGATGGTGGAGAAGAAAGTGGATTAGTGGCAATAGATGAGCTTCCCGAAGGTAACAGATTTGAGGTTGACACCGAGGAGGTTTGAGGAGATGTGGAAGACACAACCACTTCGGATTGTCGAAGAACTCGAACGATTTGGGAGTGACTGTCTGCAAAGCAGACCTAAACAAAGATTACAGGAGCAAATAAGTGCTGGCCTAAATAAATTAAATGTAAAGACCTAAGATTAGACTGTGTGTTTATGGAATGTGCGATAGACTTACCTCCACGCGGTGCACCCTGGGCAACGTATATTCATACGGCAAAAAAGTCTATTAACTGGCAGTTGACTTCTCACTTCAACTACCATCACCTCACTCTATGCTATATTCTACTACTTCACAGTACTCACTTCAACTTTTTCCTACCTTTATGCTTGTCTCTTACATCTTTGAAACACTCTTTTGTCCCCCCCTCTCAACTTTTTTCAATTCGATGTTCCTTCCCCTCTGTGAAGC